GCTATCTCCAACATCAACGTAAATAAAATTTAGTTGAAGTCAATTGAGATTTGTAAAATAACTTATCTTGACATGCCACTCCCAACTAAAATTTTACATGTCCCAAACAAACCCTAATAAGATTATTAAAAATCAAAGTTGTGTAATATCAAGATAGCACGTAGGGACAAGGGTACTTTCAAATTAATGTGCTGTTAGTTTGGAGAATTGAGTTCATGGAAAATTAATGGTGAGAATGGTTGACCATGCAAGTCGAGGCCCAGCAAGGAAATCGTGGCTCATTAATTTGGTGGGCCCCATAATTTTTTTTTTAACAAAATTGTCCAATTAAATGATCACATGTGATATATCGTAAATAATAATTGGGATTGAAAGATGTCGACTGTTTTCTTCTAGCACTCTGTACATGCATTCAAAATGTGTGATTTTTAAGATGTGGACTAATAGGGTTTTTGCTAAGGGCCACATGGGGGACGCATTAGTGACACTAGCAAAATCTTGACTAATAATGTACTTGAGATACGAGAAAGAAGTCTTTTAAGATTGTTCATCATTCATTATTTTGAAAGTGAGGAGTAATTTTTAAAATCAAAAATGCTAAAGAAACAGGATTGGTGACCGACCTTAAAATAGGGGCCGAGGCGGCCCTTGATTTGAATGGTGGGCCATCCAAATCAACGCCCGAATGGAAGCCACATCAAGCCCTTGTTTTTGAGTCGGTCACCGACTCTGTGTGTAGCAGAATTATTTTAAAATAAGATTTTTTTTTATTACTTAAGAGTTAGAAAACGAAACATGTTCAAACATTTTGTATTTATTATTATTATTATTATTAATTTATTTTATTTTATTTTTTTGAGTGGACGAGGGAAGATACCGATCTTTGAACCTTTAACTTTGATCGCAAAAATAACTAGTAATAACAACTATGTTTAAAAATGAAAAATAACTTGAAAATAGCTCTTATTTTAAAAGCTTGGTGCCTATTTTGTCTATAAAAGTCAACTTTATAATGAGTGGTCCTCGTGAATTGTGTGGATAATAAATGCATAGGATCCACGTCTTATAAACAAAATAAGTCAAGATTTATGTTGTTTATAAGATGTGGGTTCTGCTATTGTTTATTTTATCACCAAATATATCATGGGACTTACGTGGGTTTGTTTGTGTCCACGAACATATTAATTATGTTTTTAAAATGAAAAGATTAACACAAACTTTCAAAGTTTGAGTTTTCATTGGCTTTAATAGATCTGGGAAAAGTGACATTCATTATAAAAAGGTTGCCCCATAGCGGTTCGCTATCCATAATTTATGTATCTGTCTTGCTTATTAAAAATACAAAGAAAG